ATCTACAACGTAAATGCGCCACCCACCTTTAGATATAAGTTCTAAGTTCTCAGTATAGTTACAACGGCTGCCCCGCCCTTCAAACCGAAACGCATTACTGCTTGACGGCAGAAATAGACAGGGCGGTGGTACCTACTCGTGCGGACTCACAAGAGGTCCTACCATCAGTAATTATGCAAATTACAATATTGCGGGTTTGATTTTTATTACACGATGTTATTCCTTCACCGTGAAAGTCAATCATGAATATTTGTTAAGTACGTATTTCATTAGAAAAATTGGTATTCGCCTGCGGGATTCGAACACCTGTGCATCGCTAGATACGAATGTACCGGACGTCTTATTCTTTAGGCCACGACGACTTCAAAGCCTACCTATTGAGTCCTATTGTTGTGGTGTCAATGGGGTCTGAAACCTTGACCCCTAATGTGTCGCTTCATCAGTATCAATAAAATACTTGGAAAGTGTTAAATCCGTACAATATTCAAATGTAGCCAAAACTCGTCGCAAGGTACGTTTGTCTATTGTTAATAGTTAGTTGCTGGTTCATAGCAGCATGTAAATCAATCAATCATGATCGGATGTCTGCAAATAACATAACAAATGGTTATAATAACAAAGCCCTTTTATTCCGAACTACATGCAATTTAACGTATTTGATTTTATATATTTATTTCTTATGATATATCACGCAACTCGGTGTGCCCCTTGGCATAGGTCTCCTCCAGCCATCCCCATTGAACTAGGTCTTCTGCAACTCTGGTCCAGATGATCCTAGGGTTAGACGGGTATCATCACTCCCTTTTGTTTTCAGACACCCCTGTCTTCAGATGTCTGTTCTTGGATACCATAAGGATACTCCATTTATTTGTTTTGCAACGTAGCATATGTCCTGTCAAATCCAAATGGTTACAATATTTTAATTAGAAAAGGAAAGATCTATTCAATTTATGAGACAATATTGCATTGATTCCATATTTTTAATTAGTTGTTAATTCAATTTATATATTCTGATAAATTAAATTTAATTAAAATCGAATAACAGAAAAAGTTACGAGTATACAAAGTAATTAAGAAACACTTTAGTTATGGACGCGACTACGGAATGACCAGACATTTTGCTGATGAAGAATATTTGATGGGAATTCAAAAGTTTGTCTCGTGCCTATAATTGTTTTATGACGTCCGATACGATATCGTGTTATTTTTTCTGTGACCTGTATTTTTTTTTATTGCCTAAATAGGCGGACGGGCTTACAGTCCTCTGATGCTTATTGGGTATAGATATCGTAACCTTAGCCATACTTGATTTTGATGTGTCATTATATAATAGGTCAATATCTTTGTCGCCTTTTATGATACTCATGTAACATACTGTACTATCGTCACCAGATTACATAGTCTTTTTTTCCTTTATCTAATCATTAGTAGCCAAAAAGACTATTCGAAATACGCGCAGATTATTAGTCAGGGAGCTCACGGGGCTTAACCTGAAAGTACTTGCTAGCACTGACCCTTACAAGAGCGGTGCTTCGCTGAATCTACAGCCAGGTTGGAATCGTAAACCACGTGAGATTCAGAGGCTTGTGAGATAGGTTACGACTTGTGATACTTTGTGTCGTTCACACATTTTTCTATGATCTATTCAATTAATTTTGCTGTCAAGTATTATCCGTGTGAGAAAAGCAATATTTAACTACTTACCGCATAATGTCCTAAAGATTTGGCATCTCTTGATGGTCTATTGGCTATATTGCACTTAGAACTCTTCGCCGCAGTTGAGCAGTTCGACGAGAACAGTAACTAGCGCTTGTAGTGTCTATAAGTACCGAGAGTGGAGGGCTGGATAGGATGTGCTTAGGGCGTCGGAGGCTTTGCGTTGCCCCTTCGTCTGGGTGGGTATATAATATGGGGCGGCCACTTCATATTATATATGATAAGATGGATATTGTATAATATAAAAAGAAATATATTGTTATCTTATGATACTGTTTCTAGGGATAAGTTAACAATTATGTTGCAAAAGTACTGATCTTCTAATTATTTAAATAATTAATTATCATATACTATTTATTGATCTTAAATAAAATTCTAAAATTACCGTTATTTGAGGTTTGTTGATACTGATTTTTTTTTCACATTAAGACGCTAATTTTCTAGAAGTAAAATTTTAAATGTCATCAATGTTTTAGTTATTTCACAGAAACAAACTAGTTATTTTAATTGACAACGCAAAACATCAAATAACAAGCAAATTTACATATTTTAAGTTGTATTTCCTTATAAACTGATATGGTTTAGTTTAATAAAATAAACTTATATAATGAGACGTTCAAATATCGTGTCGTATGCTGTAAATATGTCGGTAGAGTCGTCGTGGTGCGTCGGGTCGCCCGTGTGTGCCGCAGTGCGGCGCCCCTGCGTCACTACTCGGCTGCGGCGCCCGGTCCATCACTGAGATACATAATAATAATATTTAGTATGTTTTTATTATTATTCGATATACCTAATTACTAATAATACATAATTTCGAGGGATGAAAGGTGTTTTATGCGACATTTTTACAAACATTACAGGAGAGCTATTTAAAATTTAAAATTTGGAAGAAATATCATAATAAAAAACTTCTTCGGCTATTTGAATGGGGCAATTGAAGTTCAATTAAAAACATCGAATTGTTGATAATAATACCAAATACAGCGGACCTTTAATTACGAAGATAAATGTCGCGTATTAAGCGAATTCTAAAGTGAATCTATCTCGAAAGAGATTATTTAATTCTATTCAAATCTTATTTAATTCTAGGCGATGCGACGCCACAATCGTTTTTAGTTTTTTAAATGCGGAAATATTTAAATGGTGTTCAGTTGTAAGGTTAGATTTTATAAGGTTTAAGTTCACTGTTTGTCTTCCAAATAAAATAAAATAAAATAGATAATCCAGTCATAACATGTTGACGATGCGGACCTATTAAAAATCTTGTACTTCCATTAATAGGTTTGCTTTCATTAATAGTACATCTATATATTAATACGTGAAGAAAAAACTTTGTATCCCTTTTTACGAAAATTGCGCGGACGAAGGAGTATGAAATTTCCCACACTTATAGAGAATATAGAGAAGAAGTGCGTAATGCTAATAATTTTTTTTAATAATGCATAATAGATACATTAAATCAATAAAGAAAACATTACACACACTACATACCATGTATTTGACGCACACACGCATGCATACTATTTATTGTCAAACTTTTGTTCTTGACGTCTGTGGTCAAATTGAGAATAGATTAAATATTGTTTGTCTTTATTAATATTTTTTTATAGAGTAGCCTTGGCGAAATTCGTGATTATAGATGTACAAAATACAATCATAATAGTGTACAAACTTACAATTCCAATTAATTATAGTCGAACTTAGTTTTTTTTTTTTTTTTTTGTTGCTTAGATGGATGGACGAGCTCACAGCCCACCTGATGTTAAGTGGTTACTGGAGCCCATAGACATCTACAACGTAAATGCGCCACCCACCTCGAGATATAAGTTCTAAGGTCTCAGTATAGTTACAACGGCTACCCTACCCTTCGAACAGAAACGCATTACTGCTTCACGGCGGAAATAGGCGGGGTGGTGGTACCTACCCGCGCGGACTCCCAAGAGGTCCTACCACCAGTGATTACGCAAATTATAATTTTGCGGGTTTGATTTTTATTACACGATGTTATTCCTTCACCGTGGAAGTAAATCGTGAACATTTGTTGAGTACGTATTTCATTAGAAAAATTGGTACGCGCCTGCGGGATTCGAACACTGGTGCATCGCTTCATACGAATGCACCGGACGTCTTATCCTTTAGGCCACGACGATTTCACTTTAGGCCACGACGACTTCACGGGACCTCTAGTATTACTAAATGTGGGAGACGTCTGTTAAAATGAATTACAAAACTTGATATACGCTTTAGAAACGAACACAGTAAGCACGAGGACACACTTCAGTTATTTGACAACAAACTCTTCAAGCGTACGCTTCAATTCAATATTTATATGTTAAGTGTTCAGTTCGTAATTCTTGAGTGTTAGGTCAATAAGTCAGGGCGAACAAGCACATTAATATATGCAAATACAGTTTTTGTTCTAACAAATTTAATGTTACATTTCTGTTGTATTTGCGATCAGTATCTTATACCTTTATACGAGCAATTCGTGTATATTAATATATATATGTATATAATCTGAATCTCGGAAACGGCTCCAACGATTTTCATAAAATTTAGTACACAGGGGATTTCGGGGGCGATAAATCGAAGTAGCTACGATTTATTTTCAAATAATGTCGTTTTATTCGTGTTTTCAATAATCAACTCTTCCCGACATCTATTGGCGAATAATAATACTATTTTTCTTAATTGTAGGCAACTAACCGCCTTAAAGACACAACAAGATGGCGTTATCAAAAAAAAAACCGGTCATCGTCTAGTTCAACATTATCGTCGCTATCGGAAAGCGTTTACAGAAGTTTTTATTACTGAAAAAAAAAACGTGGTATTAAACAAATTGCTCTTTACAGACTGGTCACGCGATGTTTTCTATTCTGATTTATGAAATACGAAATAAACTGTTCGTACGATGAAAGGTGTTTGTTGTGTTTTTATTGCCACAAATTACAGGATAATTAGTAGGTCGGAGAAATTTATGTCTTGTTTTAAAATCATTGTTTAACAAATTGCTTTTTGAATTGACATACTTTCAGCGTGCTGTCTGTTTCATTTAAGCATCATTTTCTTCGTCTCTGAGCTTGTAGTTATGAATTAAATCTTGGACATATTTATTGGAACGAAGTTCCTTATGGAACGATGCGGAGGGGTATCCCAACCGGGAAAAAACGTCCGTAACGTAAGATTTTTTCTGTTTAGTTTGCTATCAACAGATGTCGCGCTGCACGTGAATTCAACAATTCCTGAATCGCGGTGACGAGATGTTACACAGTTGATAGACGTTCATACTTACCTGGCGTATGGGATACTGTGTACATGCAGACAGTTCCCCCAGAGCGAGGCTGTTCCATTGCACTCCGGAGTGGTTGACCCTTGCGATTATTTTTATTTTTATCAATAAAAAAATCATAATAAAAAATATTAAAAAATGTATACCCGAATAATTGTTTTCTTTATACCTCGGATATTACTTAAAATTAATGTTTTATATTATGGAACTTTATTCCTATCCGGTATCCCACGACATCACACATCTTTTCATTTTGTTAGTGCATATACATATTTGCTACTCGTTCTTCGCAAACCCCATAAGATTTATTTTCTATTTTAGGTTAGAATTACACCTTTGTTGACTTGGCGACGGTCAGCAGACTCTATCGAGAAACTTGTTGTTCAGAGTAGAGTGAATGGCAAGAGGTCTAGTGGACGATTCCCTATGCGCTGAACTGATCAGGTGAAAGACCTTACTGAAACCCCACTTAACGAGTTCGTGCGCCAAGCCTCAGTTCGCAAACTATATAAAACATCTGTCAAGGCTTTAATAAACAAGAATTCCACATGATCACGATTGCTCTGCCAAGAGCAACTGACTATGGTGATGACTTGTAAAGTCTATTGTATTCTACAGACTTATCTAGAGAAGATATTGAGTAGGTACCTAAAAAGTTTATAAAACACGAAAGATACTTTAAAAAAAAGTGTGTGTGTCCGCTCCGACGCACGACTGGAGTTTACTGGATATAAAAAATTAAACGAAACAATACGAGAAATAGTTCTATATTACGACAACACGATACACTACAGATTATTAACAAATTAACGAGACACAAAACAAACGACTAACAAATATATGAAAATACAATAATGAGAGAAACGCGCGATCAGTACGAGGCTTTGTGGCGGACTGCCGGCGCAGCAGCCCGGCGTCACCTGCGATAACGCGGCCGCGCGTTGGCTCCTGATTGGCGCGCGCACGCATCACGCAATCAGGAGCCAATCAGGCGCATAACGCATTTCGTGTGACATGCTAGTACGATTTTGATTGGCGCGCGCACGCATCACGCAATCAGGAGCCAATCAGGCGCATAACGCATTTCGTGTGACATGCTAGTACGATTTTGGTCCCCATAATTTTCATACCCCGGGCCTATATATGTAAATCGATTCTAAAGGAGTAAACTCCAAAATATATAAATACTTTAATATTTTAAACATATTTCTTGAATCTGAATCTAATCACCAATATGGATCTACATTTATGTTTTACTTTTGGGCAATGTCAAAGGCTGCATTCTCAAATGCACACAATCCAAAACCACGTGAGCCTGAAATACTAATTTGTAGTTAAATCGCTTGTTTCTTTACTGGCTGTATCCCACTTTAGAGTTGCCGAATAGTGGCGAAATTTGTCACTAGGCAAAATTTCGTCAGAATATTCTTAGCTATGTTTTTAAATACCAAAGTAGAGTTCAGTTTTCAAATCCTATGTTTTTTTTATTGCTTATATGGATGAACGAGCACACAGCCTACCTGGTTTTAAGTGGTTACTGTAGCCCATAGACATCTACAATGTAAATGCGCCCCCTACTTTGAGATATAAGTTCTAAGGTATCAGCGCAGTTACAACGGCTGCCTCACCCTTCAAACCGAAACGCATTATTGCTTTACGGCAAAAATAGGCGGAGTGGTGGTACCTATCCGTGTGAACTCACAAGAGGTCCTACTACTAGTTCTTTACTGGCGGTATCCCACTTTATAGTTGCCGAATATTAGCGAAATTTGTAACCAGGCAAAATTTCGACAGAATATTCTTAGCCATGTTTTTAAATACCAAAGTTCATTTTAGCAGTTGTAGTTTTCAAATTCTATTATATGAATCTATTTGTCGGCAAAACTGAACATCATAGAATACCTGTCAGTTGCTTCTAATGGCTTAATTGCATCACTAAAAGCGCATAGCGTTCGAAGAGCCGGCGTGAGGCGGCGAGGCCAATTTCCGGCCGCTGGCCTCAGTGTGTCCGGGTCATATAGTTTACACCTACACTGGCATTTTTCCAATGAACAGGGCCATTGCAATTGCACTCAATTCGTCGGTGCAGTTGCATATTTTTGCAAATGTAGGTTCACACCTGTCCTAGTGGTACTGGATAGGCTTTCGGGACACAACAATAAGGTTTCATAAAAAAAGTTTGTTATTGAATTGTCGATTTGGTCAAGGGTGAGGTAAGATTAGGATTTAAGGATGAATCAGCCTAGATGGTGATATTCTTGTAATATGTACGAACTTTTTTAACCACTAGATCTGAGTCCGACGGTCGTTCACAAATCACGGCAAATGAGCAGAAAAATAAAATCTCTTCTCGGTTACTGCATTTTTTACTTACCATGAAGCTCTTTAAAAGTAGAAGTCTGGTGAATTCGGTGGGTGATGCAAAGCTTCCAACCCAAGTTATTGTAGTATAAAGACCGTCAATTTTAATGATACAACAGGCTCCCTTCAAAACGTCGGACTAACTCGAAATTTTGCATACATATTAAAGAACGATGATAATTAATTTAATATTTAAAAAAATATGAAAATTTTAAATTAAATTAAAAAATTAAAAATAAATAATAGTTTAAAAAAACAAAAAAAACGCTTTTATAGAAAATCCAACTAAAAAATATAAAATAAATTTGATTTAAAAATAGTGTAAGAAATTTTTTTTTTGTAAAAATGCGTGGGGTGCTGTTCAGGATATTATGAAAATAACCCTTCTACTCATATCTGTTCATAAAATATTTATAACTACTGATACCATGCACCCCACGCTTTTTTACAATAAAATCATTTTTTCTTACACTATTTTTAAATCAAATTTATTAAAATTTATTTTCTATTCTTTAGCTGGATTTTCTATAAAAGCGTATTTTTTTAGTTTTTTCAAACTATTCTTGATTTTTTCAAATTTTTTCATAACAGTATAATCAAATATCAGAAAACTCATTCCGAAGCGGAACAGAGGTCTTCTTAGCTCGGCGGAGTGATAAAGCTGTGCGAGTTTTTATTCGGTCCGGAAATTAAGGCACTAGTTCGTTAACTGAAGGCTATTGAGGTCACGACGGCGGTTAGTTCTCAGAGTGCTCTTGCAACGGAAATTGTACGTTTTAGTAATTTTTCAGTTAACGATGAAAAACGTGACTTCGATCGCGTCTATCATCTTTTTACTGGTGGTAGGACCTCTTGTGAGTCCGCGCGGGTATGTACCACCACCCAACCTATTTCTGCCGTGAAGCAGTAATGCGTTTCGGTTTGAAGGGTGGGCTAGCCGTTGTAACTATACTTGAGACCTTAGAACTGATATTTCAACGTGGATGGCGCATTTACGTCGTAGATGTCTATGGGCTCCAGTAACCACTTAACACCAGGTGGGCTGTGAGCTCGTTCACCCATCTAAGCAATAAAAATCAAGATGGGTTGAATAGATGGCTGGTATGTACGAATTAGGGTGACCTCCTAAAACTCGTAGGCCATGACATAATTCATATATTTACGACAATTCTAGAATAACTCGAGTAAACAAGATACCGTGTTGCATACTTATGCATTTCAATTTTTTATTTATATTATACCTTTAAACGAACAATTCTTGTATATATATTTTTTGTATATAAAATTTAGTATACAGGGGATTTCGGGGGCGATAAATCGATCTAGCTACGATTTATTTTCAGAAAATGTTGTTGTATTCGAGTCTTCAATAATCAACTCTTCCCGACATCTATTGGCGAATAATAATACTATTTTTCTTAATTGAGGGCAACTAACCGCTTTAAAGACACAACAAGATGGCGTTATCAAAAATACCGAGAAAAGCTCGGTCGTCATCTATTTTATTTTTAAATCGCGCACCGTTGTCCTTGTGCTTAGTTAGCTTAGTTTTTTACTGTTCTCGATACTGTGAAAGTTAACTCAAATTTGTATGGAGTTGGAACTTTTGTCTACATTTGCCGCTAAGGGCGCTGTTCCAACTGCATACAAATTTGAGTTAACTTTTACGCTATCGAGTACGTTAAAAAACTCGCACTAAACACACGGAACGCATGACTGATTCGTGTCTGTAATCGATCTTGGCTTCCAAACTAAATTATTTGTATTGCTTGTTAGTGTTAATTACATTGTAGGGATTTTTTTTTCGTTTCGAACTACTAATTATTATTAAGTTATATATACTCGAAAAATTTCAAAGTATTCTAAGTCGAAGTCCAAAAACGGGTCGAAGTTTGCTTGGTACGAAATGCTTCGTTTGAAAACTGGGGTAAATATGCGGTGACGTCACAGTTCGCTACGCCGTCAGTAAAGTAAGAGATAAGCTAATATATTCGAGGGTCAGCCGAGAACGACAAGGCCTTATAGCGCCCACTCGACGTCTTATCGATGTGAAAATAATTCGCTTAAAATTATAAGGGATGGTTTGAAGCGATCTTGTCTGTTTGGATCCTGAATTGAAATTAGCTTGAGAATGTTTTTTTTATAAAGTGTTTTTAAGCTATTGCATAGCTTTTATCGCGGGCTTTGAGCGCGGCGCCTGAATCAAGAAATTCCGTAACGAAAATAAAACATAACACTGACCCCCACTACGCCTACTATGTAGCTCGCGTTCAACCCATTCACACGTTGCGCTGGTGTAGTGTTTGTGAATAAGCGCGCGGCGTGACGTCGCATTGCATGGGCATCATGAAAAGTCTGCCCATCTCGCTCTCACGCGGTCTAGCTTATGAGTGTGAAGGGGAGAGTTAATGTTTGCTTTTGTTAATGTTTATAAATATAGCGTGGTATTATTTTTATTATTGTTTTAATATTAAATTATTATTGTCTAATTGTAATTGCAAACTTGATAAAAAATGCTTTGCAATAGCTTTACCGCGGCAGTCCCCGAATGCCACACGTGTTTTTTTTTTCTTGTTGCACTCAGCGATTGCATATGATGAGAAGGCCATGTAACCAACAACATATGACTGATATACAAATACTATCGTAGTTATTTTAAGTCAATAAAGAAACGAGGCGATATATAATTTGCATGAGAAAACTTGAACTCATTCCGTGCATTTAAATTAAAAAAAATGCGTAGCTGAGACAGACAGACACAGACAGAGGAAAACAGACAGAGACTGAGAAGTAAAGTGGC